GGTTGGGTGAGTAGGTGAGTAAGTAGGTGAGTGAGTGGGTGGGTAAATCGGTGAGTGGGTGAGTGAGTGGGTGGGTGAGTGTGTGGGTGAGTTGGAGGGTGGGTGAGTGGGTGAGTAGGGTGAGAGACTGAGAGGGTGAGTGAGTGAATGGGTGAATGGGTGAGCGGGTTGGTGGGTGAGTGCGTGGGTGAGTGAGTGAGTGGGTGGGTGAATGGGTGTGTGGGTGGGTGAGTGGATGAGTGAGTGAGTGGGTGGGTGAGTGGATGAGTGAGTGGGTGAGTGGACGAGTGAGTGAGTGGGTGGGTGAATGGGTGTGTGGGTGGGTGAGTGGATGAGTGAGTGAGTGGGTGGGTGAGTGGATGAGTGAGTGGGTGAGTGGACGAGTGAGTGAGTGAGTGAATGGATGAATGGGTAAGTGGGTGGGTGGGTGAGTGGATGAGTGAATTAGTGGACGAGTGAGTGGATGAGTGAGTGATTGGGTTAGTGAGCGAGTGCGTGAGTATCATTGGTACAGCTGTGTTCATTCAATTAAGGGTGAGTGGACGGGTGGGTGAGTGGGTGGGTTGGTGAGTTGGTGAGTGAGTGGGTGAGTGGGTGAGTGATGGAATGGATGAATGGGTGAGAGGGTGAGTGGGTGGGTGAGTGGATGAGTGGGTGGGTGAATGGGTGAGTGAGTGGGTGGGTGGGTGGGTGAGTGCGTGAGTTGATGAGTTAGTGTTTGGGTGGGAGAGTAGGTGAGTGAGTGAGTTGGTGAGGGAGTGAGTGAGTGGGTGAGTGAATGGGTGAGTGGGTGAGTGGGTGGTTGGGTGAGTAGGTGAGTGAGTAGGTGAGTGAGTGGGTGGGTGAATCGGTGAGTGATTGGGTGGGTGAGTGTGTGGGTGAGTTGGAGGGTGGGTGAGTGGGTGAGTAGGTGAGAGACTGAGAGGGTGAGTGAGTGAATGGGTGAATGGGTGAGCGGGTGGGTGGGTGAGTGCGTGGGTGAGTGAGTGAGTGGGTTGGTGAATGGGTGTGTGGGTGGGTGAGTGGATGAGTGAGTGAGTGAATGGATGAGTGAGTGAGTGGGTGGGTGAATGGGTGAGTCGGAGGGTGATTGAGTGGGTGAGTGAGTGGGTGGGTGGCTGGGTGCGTGGGTGGGTGAGTGAGTAGGTGGGTGAGTGAGTGAGTGGTTGAGTGAGTCAATGGGTGAATAAGTGAGTGGGTGAGTGGGTAGGTGGGTGAGTGGATGAGTGAGTGGATTAGTGAGTGAGTGAGTGGGTGGGTGAGTCGGTGGGTGAGTAGGTGAGTGAGTTGGTGAGTGGGTGAGTGATGGAATGGGTGAGAGGGTGAGTGGATGAGTGGGTGGGTGAATGGGTGAGTGGGTGGGTGATTGAGTGGGTGGGTGAGTGAGTTGGTGGGTGGCTGGGTGGGTGGGTGAGTGAGTGAGTGGGTGAGTGAGTGAGTGGGTGAGTGAGTGAATGGGTGAATGGGTAAGTGGGTGGGTGGGTGAGTTGATGAGTGAATTAGTGGACGAGTGAGTGGATGAGTGAGTGATTGGGTTAGTGAGTGAGTCCGTGAGTATCATTGGAACAGCTGTGTTCATTCAATTAAGGGTGAGTGGACGGGTGGGTGAGTGGGTGGGTGAGTTGGTGAGTGAGTGGGTGAGTGGGTGAGTGATGGAATGGATGAATGGGTGACAGGGTGAGTGGGTGGGTGAGTGGATGAGTGGGTGGGTGAATGGGTGAGTGAGTGGGTGGGTGGGTAGGTGAGTGCTTGAGTTAATGAGTGAGTGATTGGGTGGGAAAGTAGGTGAGTGAGTGAGTTGGTGAGGGGGTGAGTGAGTGGGTGGGTGAATGGGTGAGTGGGTGAGTAGGTGGTTGGGTGAGTAGGTGAGTGAATAGGTGAGTGAGTGGGTGGGTGAATCGGTGAGTGGGTGAGTGAGTGGGTGGGTGAGTGTGTGGGTGAGTTGGAGGGTGGGTGAGTGGGTGAGTAGGTGAGAGACTGAGAGGGTGAGTGAGTGAATGGGTTAATGGGTGAGCGGGCGGGTGGGTGGGTGAGTGCGTGGGTGAGTGAGTGAGTGAGTGGGTGGATGAATGGGTGTGTGGGTTGGTGATTGGATGAGTGAGTGAGTGAATGAGTGAGTTAGTGGGTGAATGGGTGAGTCGGAGGGTGATTGATTGGGTGAGTGAGTGGGTGGGTGGCTGGGTGCGTGGGTGGGTGAGTGAGTAGGTGGGTGAGTGAGTGAATGGTTGAGTGAGTCAATGGGTGAATAAGTGAGTGGGTGAGTGGGTGGGTGGGTGAGTGGATGAGTGGGTGGGTGAATGGGTGAGTGGGTGGGTGATTGAGTGGGTGGGTGAGTGAGTAGGTGGGTGGGTGGCTGTGTAGGTGGGTGAGTGAGTGAGTAGGTGGGTGAGTGAATGAGTGGTTGAGTGAGTGAATGGGTGAATGAGTAAGTGGGTTAGTTGGTGAGTGGATGAGTGAGTGGATTAGTGAGTGAGTGAGTGAGTAGGTGAGTGAGTGGGTGAGTGAGTGGGTGGGTAAGTAGGTGAGTGAGTGGGTGAGTAGGTGAGTTGGAATGGGTGAGAGGGTGAGTGGATGAGTGGGTGGGTTAATGGGTGAGTGGGTGGGTGATTGAGTGGGTGGGTAATTGAGTGGGTGGGTGAGTGAGTGAGTGAGTGGGTGGGTGGCTGGGAGGGTGGATGAGTGAGTGAGAAGGTGGGTGAGTGAATGAGTGGTTGAGTGAGTGAATGGGTGAATGAGTAAGTGGGTGAGTGGGTGAGTGGATGAGTGAGTGGATTAGTGAGTGAGTGAGTGGGTGAGTAGGTGAGGGAGTGGGTGAGTGAGTGGGTGGGTAAGTAGGTGAGTGAGTGGGTGAGTTGGAATTGGTGAGAGGGTGAGTGGATGAGTGGGTGGGTGAATGGGTGAGTGGGTGGGTGATTGAGTGGGTGAGTGAGTGAGTGGGTGGCTGGGTGGGTGGGTGGGTGAGTGAGTGAGTGAGTAGGTGGGTGAGTGAGTGAATGGGTAAATGTGTGAGTGGTTGGGTGAGTAGGTGAGTGAGTAGGTGAGTGAGTGGGTGGGTGAATCTGTGAGTGGGTGAGTGAGTGGGTGAGTGTGTGGGTGAGTTGGAGGGTGGGTGAGTGGGTGAGTAGGTGAGAGACTGAGAGGGTGAGTGAGAGAATTGGTGAATGGGTGAGCGGGTGGGTGGGGTGATGTGCGTGGGTAAGTGGTTGAGTGAGTGAGTGGGTGAGTGAGTGGGTGGGTGAATGGGTGTGTGGGTGGGTGAGTGGATGAGTGAGTGAATGGATGAGTGAGTGATTGGGTGGGTGAGTGGATGAGTGAGTGGGTGAGTGGACGAGTGAGTGAGTGGGTGAGTGAGTGAATGGGTAAGTGGGTGGGTGGGTGAGTTGATGAGTGAATTAGTGGACGAGTGAGTGGATGAGTGAGTGATTGGGTTAGTGAGCGAGTGCGTGAGTATCATTGTTACAGCTGTGTTCATTCAATTCAGGGTGAGCGGACGGGTGGGTGAGTGGGTGGGTGAGTGGGTGAGTGAGTGAGTGAGTGATGGAATGGATGAATGGGTGACAGGGTGAGTTGGTGGGTGAGTGGATGAGTGGGTGGGTGAATGGGTGAGTGAGTGGGTGGGTGGGTAGGTGAGTGCTTGAGTTGATGAGTGAGTGATTGGGTGGGAGGGTAGGTGAGTGAGTGAGTTGGTGAGGGGGTGAGTGAGTGGGTGGGTGAATGGGTGAGTGGGTGGTTGGGTGAGTAGGTGAGTGAGTAGGTGAGTGAGTGGGTGGGCGGGTGAATCGGTGAGTGGGTGAGTGAGTGGGTGGGTGAGTGTGTGGGTGAGTTGGAGGGTGGGTGAATGTGTGAGTAGGTGAGAGACTGAGAGGGTGAGTGAGTGAATGGGTGAATGGGTGAGCGGGTGGGTGGGTGAGTGCGTGGGTGAGTGAGTGAGTGAGTGGATGAGTGAGTGGGTGAGTGGACGAGCGAGTGAGTGGGTGAGTGAGTGAATGGGTGAATGGGTAAGTGGGTGGGGGGGTGAGTGGATGAGTGAATTAGTGGACGAGTGAGTGGATGAGTGAGTGATTGGGTTAGTGAGCGAGTGCGTGAGTATCATTGGTACAGCTGTGTTCATTCAATTAAGGGTGAGCGGACGGGTAAGTGAGTGGGTTGGTAAGTGGGTGGGTGGGTGAGTTGGTGAGTGAGTGGGTGAGTGGGTGAGTGATGGAATGGATGAATGGGTGAGCGGGTGGGTGGGTGAGTGGTTGAGTTAGTGAGCGGATGAGTGAGTGGGTGGGTGAGTGGGTGAGTAGATGAATGATTGAGTGTGTGAGTGGTTTAGTGAGTGGGTGAGTGCGTGGGTAAGTGGGTGCGTGAATGAGTGAGTGAGTGGGTGAGTGAGTGGGTAGGTTAATGGGTATGTGGGTGAATTTATGAGTGAGTGAATGGATAAGTGGGTGACTGGGTGAGTGCGTGGGTAAGTGGGTGAGTGAGTGAGTGGGTGAGTGAGTGAATGGATGAGTGGGTGAATGGGTTAGTGAGTGGGTGGGTTAATGGGTATGTGGGTGAGTGGGTGGATGAGTGAGTGAGTGTATGAGTGGGTGAATGAGTGGGTGGGTCGGTGAATAGGTGAGTGACTGAGTCGGTGAGTGAGTGAATGGGAAAATGAGTGAGTGGATAGGTTAGTGGATGAGTGAGTGGGTGAGTGGACGAGTGAGTGAGTGGGTGAGTGAATGAATGGGTGAATGGGTAAGTGGGTGGGTGGGTGAGTGGATGAGTGGATGAGTGAGTGATTGGGTTAGTGAGTGCGTGAGTAGGTGAGTGAGTGAGTGGGTGGATGAATGAATGACTGAGTGGATTAGTGGGTGGGTCGGTGAGTGGGTGAGTGAGTGGGTGAGTGAATGGGTGAATGGGTGCGTGGGTGGGTGGGTGAGTGAGTGAGTGGGCGTATTACTTAAAAATAATCTGCTTGCAGTAGTGGTACTAATAATAGTAGCAGCGGCAGAAGCAAATCATCATCTCACCCATCACATGGTACCACGCGTATCCGTGGTAGTAGTACACGTTCCAGTCGTCGGTTCTCGCCCATGCGTAGAGGTCTCCACTCGACGTTGCGGCACCCCGACCTCGGCCACCGATCGATATCCGATCAAACATCGCCCCCATCGATCGCCAAGAGCAACTGGACCAGATTTTGACGTCTCTGTCGCTCCCAACGCCGATGAGGATCCCGCCGGGGGACGCGGAAACGTCCTTGAACTTGTCGCTGAAAGGAGTAGTGCAGACCAAGGCGGCTGTGGGGAGACAAAGATGGGTGGGCCGGTGAGTGAGTGGGTGAGTGGATGGGTGGTTGAGTGGCTAAGAGAGAGATGCGTGTGAGCTTGGCGATTGCCTAGCCTCAGATATCGGAGGAAGTGGCCAAACCCTGTGCGTGGGTGGGTGGATGAGTAAGTGGGTGGGTGAGTGAGTGATCAGTGGGTGAGTGAGTCGGTGATTTGGTGGGTGGGTGACCGAGTGGGTGAGTAGATTTGTGAGTGTGTGAGTGGGTGGATGAGTGGGTGGCACCTTCACCACCACCACCATCACCACCACCAGCACACTCACCATCAACCTCTGTTGTAAAGATGAAGAGAGATCCCACCATTATCATCATCACCACCATCACCACCATCATCACGACCTCAAGATAATGTTCCAGAAGGGGCTAGATAGCTGAGGGTTGAGAATGCCATCGATGTTCTCGAAGGGCTAGAGAAATATCCAGACTTATATAGATGCTTGCAATGCATGGAAATATATGTTAACTGTTTCCGTTCATACTGAGTAAATATTAACAATTGAACCTAGGTGTCCAATAGCGCACATACACATAAACATTTCAACCTATACACACACACACGTACGTATACAAACAAAGACAAATATCCCCCATATTGCCTTATAAGACTAAGGGGGTCAAGTGCTGTTAGCGAGTAGCCATTGAAGGCTACCCGCACTGTGGCACACACAGAGGGGGTGGGTGGCCAGCACCACGCACGTCCGGCCGCCTTTGTCTCAGTGGCGATTTTTACTACACCACTACTGCACGGGGAGGGGGGTGTACTCATTTGAGGCTGAGTTGACTTAGGGGAGGCCCGGTAGAGATTCAGATAATACTCTTCCTGGGTAGTAAGTGTTATTTCCTAATTGCTTATGCCTCAAAAGTATAGAAAGTCGCTATTTTTGCCGACAAATCTTGCGTTAGTGACCAGGACATTGATATTTTAAAATGTACCTATTTTCAAGGAGAAAACGGGCGAATGTGTGTCTTTTCGTTCACACAAAGTTAGAAAACAACAACATATTAATCAATATTTTAATGTATTTATACTAAAGTAATACAAAAATGACTACAAAAGATGTGTTAGACACCAAGACGCACTACCACAGGCGGGGCTGCCCACGGCGGACAAGAGTTCTCTGTAGGGAGGATCAATCTCGAAAAACTACTCACTTCTAAATCTTTTGTAGTCATTTTCTACACTTTTTAGGCATAGGCAATTACGAAATAACACTTACTACCCAGGAACAAATATTGTGTTACATAGTGTAATCATCAACGCCGGTGTTGGCTGTGATCGGGAATCGAACTCGAAGTCGCCGGATTCGTAGCATGGTGCGGCGCTAACCGCTACCACACCACCGCTCCCCACGGTGGGTATGGTGAGTACAGTGGGTATGGTGACTACAGTGGGTGTGGTGACTACAGTGGGTGTGGTGAGTACAGTGGGTATGGTGAGTACAGTGAGTATGGTGAGTACAGTGGGTGTGGTGAGTACAGTGAGTGTGGTGAGTACAGTGAGTGTGGTGAGTACAGTGGGTATGGTGAGTACAGTGAGTGTGGTGAGTACAGTGGGTATGGTGAGTACAGTGAGTGTGGTGAGTACAGTGAGTGTGGTGAGTACAGTGAGTGTTGTGAGTACAGTGAGTGTGGTGAGTACAGTGAGTGTGGTGAGTACAGTGAGTGTGGTGAGTACAGTGGGTATGGTGAGTACAGTGGGTATGGTGAGTACAGTGAGTATGGTGAGTACAGTGGGTATGGTGAGTACAGTGAATGTGGTGAGTACAGTGGGTATGGTGAGTACAGTGGGTATGGTCAGTACAGTGTGTATGGTGAGTACAGTGAGTATGGTGAGTACAGTGGGTATGGTGACTACAGTGGGTGTGGTGAGTACAGTGGGTATGGTGAGTACAGTGAGTGTGGTGAGTACAGTGAGTGTGGTGAGTACAGTGAGTGTGGTGAGTACAGTGAGTATGGTGAGTACAGTGAGTGTGGTGAGTACAGTGAGTGTGGTGAGTACAGTGAGTGTGGTGAGTACAGTGGGTATGGTGAGTACAGTGAGTGTGGTGAGTACAGTGGGTATGGTGAGTACAGTGAGTGTGGTGAGTACAGTGAGTGTGGTGAGTACAGTGAGTGTTGTGAGTACAGTGAGTGTGGTGAGTACAGTGAGTGTGGTGAGTACAGTGAGTGTGGTGAGTACAGTGGGTATGGTGAGTACAGTGGGTATGGTGAGTACAGTGAGTATGGTGAGTACAGTGGGTATGGTGAGTACAGTGAGTGTGGTGAGTACAGTGGGTATGGTGAGTACAGTGAGTGTGGTGAGTACAGTGGGTATGGTGAGTACAGTGGGTATGGTGAGTACAGTGTGTATGGTGAGTACAGTGAGTATGGTGAATACAGTGGGTATGGTGACTACAGTGGGTGTGGTGAGTACAGTGGGTATGGTGAGTACAGTGAGTGTGGTGAGTACAGTGAGTGTGGTGAGTACAGTGAGTGTGGTGAGTACAGTGAGTATGGTGAGTACAGTGAGTGTGGTGAGTACAGTGAGTATGGTGAGTACAGTGGGTATGGTGAGTACAGTGAGTGTGGTGAGTACAGTGGGTATGGTGAGTACAGTGAGTGTGGTGAGTACAGTGAGTGTGGTCAGTACAGTGGGTGTGGTGACTACAGTGGGTGTGGTGAGTACAGTGGGTATGGTGAGTACAGTGGGTGTGGTGAGTACAGTGAGTATGGTGAGTACAGTGAGTGTGGTGAGTACAGTGAGTATGGTGAGTACAGTGGGTATGGTGAGTACAGTGAGTGTGGTGAGTACAGTGGGTATGGTGAGTACAGTGAGTGTGGTGAGTACAGTGAGTGTGGTCAGTACAGTGGGTGTGGTGACTACAGTGGGTGTGGTGAGTACAGTGGGTATGGTGAGTACAGTGGGTGTGGTGAGTACAGTGAGTATGGTGAGTACAGTGAGTGTGGTGAGTACAGTGAGTGTGGTGAGTACAGTGGGTGTGGTGAGTACAGTGAGTGTGGTGAGTACAGTGAGTGTGGTGAGTACAGTGAGTGTGGTGAGTACAGTGAGTATGGTGAGTACAGTGGGTATGGTGAGTACAGTGAGTGTGGTGAGTACAGTGGGTATGGTGAGTACAGTGAGTGTGGTGAGTACAGTGAGTGTGGTCAGTACAGTGGGTGTGGTGACTACAGTGGGTGTGGTGAGTACAGTGGGTATGGTGAGTACAGTGGGTGTGGTGAGTACAGTGAGTATGGTGAGTACAGTGAGTGTGGTGAGTACAGTGAGTATGGTGAGTACAGTGGGTATGGTGAGTACAGTGAGTGTGGTGAGTACAGTGGGTATGGTGAGTACAGTGAGTGTGGTGAGTACAGTGAGTGTGGTCAGTACAGTGGGTGTGGTGACTACAGTGGGTGTGGTGAGTACAGTGGGTATGGTGAGTACAGTGGGTGTGGTGAGTACAGTGAGTATGGTGAGTACAGTGAGTGTGGTGAGTACAGTGAGTGTGGTGAGTACAGTGAGTGTGGTGAGTACAGTGAGTGTGGTGAGTACAGTGGGTATGGTGAGTACAGTGGGTATGGTGAGTACAGTGAGTATGGTGAGTACAGTGGGTATGGTGAGTACAGTGAGTGTGGTGAGTACAGTGGGTATGGTGAGTACAGTGGGTATGGTGAGTACAGTGTGTATGGTGAGTACAGTGAGTATGGTGAGTACAGTGGGTATGGTGACTACAGTGGGTGTGGTGAGTACAGTGAGTGTGGTGAGTACAGTGAGTATGGTGAGTACAGTGAGTGTGGTGAGTACAGTGAGTGTGGTGAGTACAGTGAGTGTGGTGAGTACAGTGGGTATGGTGAGTACAGTGAGTGTGGTGAGTACAGTGGGTATGGTGAGTACAGTGAGTGTGGTGAGTACAGTGAGTGTGGTGAGTACAGTGAGTGTTGTGAGTACAGTGAGTGTGGTGAGTACAGTGAGTGTGGTGAGTACAGTGAGTGTGGTGAGTACAGTGGGTATGGTGAGTACAGTGGGTATGGTGAGTACAGTGAGTATGGTGAGTACAGTGGGTATGGTGAGTACAGTGAGTGTGGTGAGTACAGTGGGTATGGTGAGTACAGTGGGTATGGTGAGTACAGTGTGTATGGTGAGTACAGTGAGTATGGTGAATACATTGGGTATGGTGACTACAGTGGGTGTGGTGAGTACAGTGGGTATGGTGAGTACAGTGAGTGTGGTGAGTACAGTGAGTGTGGTGAGTACAGTGAGTGTGGTGAGTACAGTGAGTATGGTGAGTACAGTGAGTGTGGTGAGTACAGTGAGTATGGTGAGTACAGTGGGTATGGTGAGTACAGTGAGTGTGGTGAGTACAGTGGGTATGGTGAGTACAGTGAGTGTGGTGAGTACAGTGAGTGTGGTCAGTACAGTGGGTGTGGTGACTACAGTGGGTGTGGTGAGTACAGTGGGTATGGTGAGTACAGTGGGTGTGGTGAGTACAGTGAGTATGGTGAGTACAGTGAGTGTGGTGAGTACAGTGAGTATGGTGAGTACAGTGGGTATGGTGAGTACAGTGAGTGTGGTGAGTACAGTGGGTATGGTGAGTACAGTGAGTGTGGTGAGTACAGTGAGTGTGGTCAGTACAGTGGGTGTGGTGACTACAGTGGGTGTGGTGAGTACAGTGGGTATGGTGAGTACAGTGGGTGTGGTGAGTACAGTGAGTATGGTGAGTACAGTGAGTGTGGTGAGTACAGTGAGTGTGGTGAGTACAGTGGGTGTGGTGAGTACAGTGAGTGTGGTGAGTACAGTGAGTGTGGTGAGTACAGTGAGTGTGGTGAGTACAGTGGGTATGGTGAGTACAGTGAGTGTGGTGAGTACAGTGAGTGTGGTGAGTACAGTGGGTGTGGTGAGTACAGTGAGTGTGGTGAGTACAGTGAGTGTGGTGAGTACAGTGAGTGTTGTGAGTACAGTGAGTGTGGTGAGTACAGTGAGTGTGGTGAGTACAGTGAGTGTGGTGAGTACAGTGGGTATGGTGAGTACAGTGGGTATGGTGAGTACAGTGAGTATGGTGAGTACAGTGGGTATGGTGAGTACAGTGAGTGTGGTGAGTACAGTGGGTATGGTGAGTACAGTGAGTGTGGTGAGTACAGTGGGTATGGTGAGTACAGTGGGTATGGTGAGTACAGTGTGTATGGTGAGTACAGTGAGTATGGTGAATACAGTGGGTATGGTGACTACAGTGGGTGTGGTGAGTACAGTGGGTATGGTGAGTACAGTGAGTGTGGTGAGTACAGTGAGTGTGGTGAGTACAGTGAGTGTGGTGAGTACAGTGAGTATGGTGAGTACAGTGAGTGTGGTGAGTACAGTGAGTATGGTGAGTACAGTGGGTATGGTGAGTACAGTGAGTGTGGTGAGTACAGTGGGTATGGTG